ATTTCACCTATTCCTTCTGGAATGGAACAGTTAACTAAACAAAGAGAACCTGTATATTTTGAGTAACTGTTGTCGGTGACCAGCTTCAACCATTTGCTGAGCTAAATCATGTAACAGTGGCAAAATTCTTGGCGGTATAAGAGCAGGAGGTGTGTATACAACAGCATCAGCATTATTGTTGTGAAGGTCAGAATGGTGATGAGAAGGATTCTTGCCACTAGGATCACCCTCAAGGCCAGGTGATCCTGATGAAGGTCGCATTGAGTTCGGAAGGCAATCAAAGAGACGCTCAGGTTCCACAGGTTTGCTGTAATCACACAGAATAAAAGAACTTCATGGTAACACTAATAGAATTTTCATTAAAAAAAATAAAGAAAGAAAAGAAATCACATGCTCACTATATAACCATATTTTATAGGTAAAATGTCAAAGATGCCACAAGGTAACCATTATCCTTTCCTTTTATTGAAATCCTTAAATAATTTCAAGATATTTCTATGATAAATACTATCAAGGAAACCATTATGCAACTAACAATATAAGAAACATAAACATCACCAACACACTTCAAAATGAATTGGACTCTATATAAGTTTTTGAATATCATAAAATGAAATGGATTGCCCTCACCCCTGCCCTCGTTAGTCGGGGTTTAATAGGGAGTGGATATATGAATAAACCAAAAATGACGAGAAACATATCCAATGGTCGCAGCAAGAAGTTGGAGGAACCAACTATTACAAAGGTTGCCGTTTTTATTTAAAATTAAAGATTGATTTATCTGATGACACAGAACCATCAATTGTTATTGAGTTCATGCAAGCAAATAAACTTTTCATCTAAGATGCCAAAAGATGAACAACAACAGGCACAAAAATAAAACCTGTAAGACGATAATAGCTGCTTAAACTCATCTTCTAGGTTAGAAATAGCTTTAGCTAGCATATTATTAGCATGGCTGATGACAGCATCAGTGCTATTAAAATCCCTCTTACTGCCAAAAAACTGAATGTTGCTTCTCAACTTGTCAATTGCTTCGAGATAGTTTTCCAGGTCTTCATGTGGTCCTTCACGTATTTTTGCCTCTGCCTGTATAATGGATCAACGAGAATATAAAACAATGTAATGGGGGGAGAAAAGGAACCCCAGGAAACAAGTCATAAATATAACATACTCTGGACCACGTATATTACAGAAAAAAGAAAAGTCCTGAAGTTGTCATCCAGTAAATCAATTTTTTTATGTGGATATGAAATTTCTTATGTCCCTCCTCTTCCAAACTTAATAAAGTACAAAGTTGAGCTTAACAGAATCATTTGTAGCACTTCACAGTACAAAAAAAGAAGATAGTTAATATCCCAAAAGCTTAAGCTATTAGGTTAAAACACATGAATCATTTAATATTAACACAGACTAATTTAATTCAAATAAACAAAACTATTTTGTGAGAAACAGATCATGGGGATTGAATCAAACAGCATGCAAGCTAGTAAAACCATGGTTTACCAGAAAACCAACCTGACGAAATTGATCAAAGTGAGCCAAGATAACCTCAGCAATCTTCAAAGTCTTATCAATATTCTCATGAGCTTTCCTAATAGAATGAGTTCTAATCTGCAAACCCCAAATGAAAAGATCCAAAATTTAACAATCATATAACAACAAAACAGCCATAAATCCACAAAACTCCCTCCAGATCCCCCACATGGGTTGTTTGAAAAACAAACAAGAAAGAAAACCCCAGGTGGCAAAACCCCAAATTCCATCACGACCAAGTCAAAGACAAGTCAATCCAACAAAACCCAATTTCCCCCTCCAAAAAAAAAAAAACCCATTTTGAAGTACATTTGATCACAAAATTTTGTGGGTGTGAAGAAAAAGGGGGACCTGAGTAGGACGCATGGCGGTTTCAAGGGCGGAGAGACGGTGGTCAAAGGAACCAAGGATGGAAACAACGTTGTCCGTGATGGTTTGGCTCTTCTGCAGAGACTCTCTCATCATGGCTGCTTTTTCACTGAGCAAATCAACACTTGCCACCGCCATTCCCATCTTCTTCTTCTTCTTCTTCTTCTTCTTGTGCTGCAATGTTTTGTTGGCTCAGACAACATAATAGAGTAATTAATGGGAAGAGTTTCTTTTTTTTTCAATTGAATTGGTAACAGTTGTGATGTAAGAATGGTCCCACAATGCCAGTTTGGACACTGCATTGATTTGGCACACAGACACGCCATGTCTTTCCTTTCGCACACACTCTCTCTGTTTCTTGCCTTTCTGGTATTCAACTGTTATACTTGTAACCATTTTTTATTTTTATTTTTGGTAAATGATATTTTTTTTCCTTTTTAAATTCCAATACTTTAATTATCTCTTATTGAAAACTGTAAATAAAATTACAATAATAACAATATTTAAATCAATCACAAAATTATTATATGCAACACTCTAAAATATATAATTCAATCATAAATTATCACAAACAACACTCCAAAATATATTAGTCAATCATAAATTATTACAAACAACACTCTGAAAATATACAAATCAATTATAAATTATCATAAACTACACTCCAAAAATATATAAATCAATTATAAATTACTACAAATAACACTCAATAAATATATAAATCAATCATAACTTATCATAAACTACACTCCAAAAATATATAAATCAATTATAAATTATCATAAAATAAATTTCAAGACATTTTACATGGAAATATTTTCTTTGATGATTTTATCATTACCATATTAATTTTTACAATTGACATGGTAATATTTTTCCTATACATAGAGACTACATAAATCATTAGTCATTCATTCAAAATTGAGAAAAATCAAAGAGTGAAGGGTTTTGAAAAATCTTGAAAAAAAACTATACTAAGAAAAATAGAGAGAAAAATAAAGGAATTTTAAAATGAGAAAACTTGATAATAAGAAAAGCAAAAGTAAATACCAAAGGTGAGAATAACTTCTCTCTTTCTTCCAAAATATAAACTACATAAAAATATTATTTTATTATTTATTTTATTTTTCTTCTCCCCCTAACCAGTCCCAATGAGATATCGAGTTCTATTTTAAGTTATTTATTTCAACAATTTATATTACAACAATTTATATTTTTGCAATTTATATTTAAGTAATTTACTTTTCTGCAATTTATTTTATTCCATACTATAATTATATACTTATGTATATATATTCTAATATATATTTAAGCATAGTTATAATTATGCAATTCTAATATTTGTGTGAATATTGCTATACATGTGATAAATATCATATATGTATTTATTTAATTGTGTGTTTTCATTTTTGCTTGTTCATTATATTGAAATGTGATGTCTTTAATTTTTATGCAAGTTATCAGGTAAATTTTGTATGGTAAAGATTCCTATAACTTATATTTTTATGGGATTCTTTTGGATGTATCCACCTTATTGTCTTCCTAAAGAGTTTATGATATTTTTAATATAAGGTAATCTAAATATGTACATGATCAATAAACTGAGTTTCTTGAGTTAAGGAACAATTCTTTTAGACAAGATGAGGCAGGGAGCACCCTTGCAAAGTACAAAGCTCTTATGAATAGAAAATTTCATACTTATAAAAATGTTTTGGCATATATATATATATATATATATATATATATATATATATATATATATATATATATATCAATAAACTGAGTTTCTTGAGTCAAGGAACAATTCTTTTAGACAGGATGAGGCAGGGAGCACCCTTGCAAAGTACAAAGCTCTTATGAATAGAAAATTTCATACATATAAAAACGTCTTGGCAGAGATATATATATATATATAGGCATTAATGCTTCTCATGTCATTGCAAAAAGGATTTTTGTGCAGTAGACACATCTTTTCCAGGATACGTTGACGGTTCCTAGTATTTTTATTTTATTTTTTAAAGCGAGTGGATCCCATTTTTTTGTGTCTGCTGCTAGATTTTGCTTTTTGCAGAGACAACAAAAAAAGTGAAACCATATATATATATTATGAAAAAAAAAATTGTCATTTTAAATAACACTTTGTGTTGTTTTAGATAAAACAACGTTGTTTTGTTGCATAATTGATAATTTTTTACATTTTCTCTCTCTTCCTAGTTTTACGGGGAAGAGAGAATGTAAAAAATTACCAAATATACACCAAAATGATATCATTTTATCAAAATTGTGTACTTTAAAATAACAAACATTTTAAGACGAGGTAGGAAGACGCCATTACAAAGTACAGGCTCTAATGTATAAAAAAATTCCATACTTATAAAAATATCTTGGCGATAATGATATATAAAAATATCTTTGAAAAAAATATTTGTTATTTTAAAAGACACAACTTTGTGTTATTTTAGATAAAACGTTGTCGTTGTGATGTATAATTGGTGATTTTTTACATGGAAAAAATATTTGTCATTTAAAAGGATGGTCATTTTAATTAAAACTAATATTTTTATTTAAAATTCAAATTACAAAAATCTCACTTTCTCCCTCCATGATTCTTTTTATCATTTAAAATAACACAATTTCATGTCCTTTAAAATGAAAAACATTAATCCTTTTTTACGTTCTCTCTTTTCCTAATTTTACGAAAGAGAGAGGATATAAAAAATACCAAATATACACTAAAATGATATCATTTTATCTAAAAAAAAAAACACTAACTGACAGTTCATACTTTATGTAGTTGTGCGGCTTCGGCTTGACAACGATTGTGCACCGAAATTTAAAAGATGGTTACAAAATGGAACAAACTATTCCTTAACCAAAATATAATTAAACATTCAAAAACAAGAAAATAACTCATTGCCAACTAGAACACTGGAAGCTTGTCATTCTCCTTATCAAAATATATTTGCAAAGAGATTATTTTCACAATTCAAACCAAGACCTTGCAATAAAAATAAAAATAAAAATAAAAAAAACTTTACCATTACTTCAAGTTTGCCCTCTTTAAATAATTAAAAAGGGAAAAAAAGCACGGGCATTCAAGTTAAACTTCGTGCATGTCATGAAATACTAACTGTCATTCCAGGAATCAAATTGATATCTACACCGAGTTCACAAGTTTAGGTGAATTCATTAGAGAGGCGATATGAATAAAAATGAGAGTCTAGCAGAGTTCAGTTTCAAATTTGAGGCTTATGCCCATGCTAAAAAGCTCCTGGCACAATAATTTGGCTCCATATGGGACACTGGCCACCACAATGTCTTCAACAGAAGCACAGGATCGGCAATAGGGACCTCGTATTTTATGGCCACCAGACACCGGTCGTAAGATCACATTTGCAATACTTTTGCATTTACTACAAATGTGTATCTGAGAGGAGTCACTGAGTGTAAAGAGGCGTTCATACAGGTTGGCTGATGCACCATGAGCTATGAGGCAATCACGCTCCATTTCACCAAACTTTATACCTCCAAATCGCTTCCTGTCAGCCACCGGCTGTCGGGTCAGCGGGTGAACTGGACCGGTGTTCCGGTATTTTACTTTATCCTCAGACATGTGGTGTAGTCGTTGGTAGAATGTGGGGCCCATAAATATGAGTGAACGGACCATCTCACCTGTTCTCCCATTGTATACTCTCTCGTTTCCCCATCTTGAAAACCCAGCTCTGCCATATACTCAGAAGGAATGAGTCAGGCTGAATAAAACAACAAAACACAAAATACACGACAAAGTGAAACTAGGAAAAATAATAGACCCCCACACACTTTCATGTGCAATAGGAAATAAAATTATCTCCTACAAAATGAGAAATATTATTTCCAAAAAAAATTCCTAAATCTAAAGTGAGCCCTGAGCAAAGACAAGAAACCATCTACCACTTGGAAGACATTGGCACATAAAAAACATGTCACAACAGTAAGCAAGAGCAGAAGTTGAAATACAAGTTCCTCCTACAGAAAATGGCCCACATAAATAATCCGAACTGCATTTGAAGTACAGTGCGTAACATGATCAAACTGTACCTGTGAAGCTTGTCCGTAATGTCATCAATAGAGGGAGTGGAGAAAGGGGTAGCATGTCTCAATACAGCACCACAAGCAATCCCCTTTCCTAATGCAGCCTCTAGGAGTTGCCCAGGAGTTTGTCGTGAGGGAAATGCATGCGGATTTATGACAATATCGGGAACAATACCTTGTCTTGTGAAAGGAAAATTTTCCTGAGACTCCAAAAATCCTAAAACACCCTTTTGTCCATGCATACTAGAGAACTTGTCTCCGAGAAGGGGACTTCGAACCTGCAATATTTTTAAATAACAGATTTTCCTAGTGATCAAATTCAACTGTCAGAAAAGTTAACTTTCAGTTTTGCAACATAAAACATCCATGTTCAGATGATGTACAAATTTATATATTTGCATGTCCATCTCAACGTGCATGTATGGATGTACTTGTGCATGCAGAAAGTTGTGTTCAGTGCAATTAATTCAAAAAATCCATGCAAAAGGAAACAGGCATCTTCATTAATGTAGTTTTCGGTTTCAGAAGTTACCTGTCTTAACGAAACCACAGCAAAATTCTTCCCCTCATCATTTGAAGACAGCACAACCTTTTGAACATAACCCCTTTCGGTGTGTTTTAACTTTATGCTATGGTCCGTCCCTGATGTAGTACACCGGCCAATAATAATATCACCAGTTTGCAAATTTGCACCGACATATGGAAGCCCATCATCATTAAGGCTATCAACTCGGCCAATTCTACTTTGTACCTTTCCAAAATGTACATTGTCTTCAGGTTTCCTCTTTTTCTCCAAAGATTCCTTATTATCAATTTCGGCTTTGTAACTTCGTATGTGCTCAGATCTGAACATTCCACGCTGCAAAGAAGCACGGTTCATCACAAGGGAATCCTCTTGATTGTATCCCAGATGTACATTGACAGCCACAATTGCATTCTGTCCATTATAGAATTCAGCCTTTGGAAGTACTCTATTTTGACATAATGGATGCCCTGCTTTTCCAAGACAATCAGAAGTCATTGTACGAAAAAGGGGCCTTTGAGGATAATGTAACTGGTGAGACAAAGTATCAACTCTAATGTCTGGGTTCGTTGTAGAAAAGCCAATAGCCTGTGAGGAGTGCTTCTGAGACTGGTAGAGTACCCTCCTTGCATGGTCATGATTGGCAAATGGTACAAGAGAACAGCTTAAACCCAATAAGAATGACATATCAAGTTCACAGTGCGTGTACTTTACAGAAGATTTTCCCTCTTTTGCAAATAAATACTGAACACTCCAAGCAGTACAACAGTCTTCCTCTTCTTCAGGTCCAACCAGCTCAATCACACCATTATCCAAAAGGAACTGGAAAGAGTAATGTTCCGATTTAGATCCTTTAATCTTGTGTAAATTACCAAGTACCAAAAGTGGACGTAGAATCCTTCCTGCATCAGAGTATATGTGCACTTCTTTTTGAAATCGGTCTCTTTTGATTTCCACCTACAATGGAAAATAGTTATCACTAGGTTCAGAAGAAGAAAAAAAAAAAAAAACTAAATCAAACAAATATATTGCAAATACTACAGCTTTTAATATATAAAAAACAGGGAAAAAATTGAGAGACAAAGAAAGGTATATTCCTAAACAAAGTTACTGAAAAAAACCCAGCAGAAGAAAACATTGTCATCTAAATAATAAAGTTACCCAAGCCAGATATGATGGCTAGCTATTGATGCATATATAAAGAGAATGTATATACCAATGTCTACTAGAGGAAAAGGACACATAAATGAGTAAGCGTTTCAGAGGTAGGGCATCTGGAAAGTGGAAGGCATGTACAAACAGTTGATCCCATTGTGTGAAGCAAGTAAAGCATTTACCATATGGTAATGGCAATCATAATCCTCATAAGGACATAAACCAATCTAAATAATTATTCCCTGACATAGACCAAGTTTCCAAGTGCTTAGTCCATTACTATATTATTTGTTAATTAATGTATCATTTGTTTTGCAGGTTGACAGCATGCCTTAAGCTGTTAAACATGTCAAACAGGTTGACTAGCACAGCATATAAAAGCAACGTAAAATAAGAGATTAATAGTGAACCTGATGAGGCAATTCATTTCTACGTCTTTTACTTCTTAGGTCTGCCACAAATGAAATGGGATCTGCACACAGTCCAACCCAATCCCCATTTAGGAATACTTTGTCCTTGTTGCCCAGAAATGTGGAAATATCATCGACCAGTTCTTCCATTCCACAGTCAAACAACTGAGGCAATACAGACTCAGATATGTTTGTGCTTACTAGTCCTGTAACAGCCAAATTCTTTACTAGTCCACAATTTTCACCATCCGGGGTAGACAGGAAACAAACCTTGCCCCAGTGAGAAGGATGCCTGCAGCCACAAACTTCCATTTTAATAAATTAAAGAAATTTTTTGGATAAAACAGAGCACTAGTTTCAAGCATACAAAACACCATATTTGAACTTTCAACTTATGGTACCCAACAAAGATTTTAAGGATTTTAACATAATTTGTAACCCAACCATTTCCATCAGAAGTTACTAAATGTACATATACCTCCTAGTCAATCAAAATACTTCAACCACACCTTGTTTATATACCCACATTAAACCCTCAAAACATCAATTTTCTACTCCTAATCAACCAATAAACCCAAACCTTATCCTATGAAGTCCCAATTCCCCCTGATGTGTTGTGTTCCTTAAACGAACTATTACAGTATTACTTTTACTTCAGCCTTCACCAACATTTTAGACGCCCCTAAAAAAAGGTGACAGGGAGAGGGGAAGAAAAAAAAAAAAAAAACTGCTGATGTAATGCAAATATTACAGCATTACTGCACCTGTTGTTCAGCTCTAGCCTAACCTTTTTGCAAGATTCTTATCAAGCAGGGTCCCCCCCCCCCCCCAATTTTCCATCCTCTATGTCCACTTCTCCTTCCCTGCCCCAATGCCCACACTAGCTCAAATCAATTCAAATTAATGTCCTTTTTTTTCTTTCTAAAATCAGCTTTGAATTTCTAATGGCATCCACAATCTGCCGATACAGAATGTTACGGTGCGCCGCAAATACAACTGAAAGACTTAAATACCAAAAGGCATAGAAGAATGACCATTCAGTTTGCTAGGGTATAAAATTTCTACTAACACACACTTCACCCACAGCACAGCATGACTGAAAAACATAAAATAAAATAAAGAACTAAATAGACAAAGCTTAAAGTAACTTACGGGTATCTAGCATCCCCAACCTTTCCCGTGTACTGAACATGTTGCCTAGTTCTTCTTAGTTCCGCCATGGTCTGTAATGGATTTGTTCGCCCAAGATTTGCAACCACACCAGAAATCCTTTCTAACCTTTTATATGGATGTGACCATGCTCCAGTAGAAAATGCTCTTTGGAGACCATTTGTAATTATGGAAGCATCAAGATAGTGCTCAATTGGGCGTACATCACGATCTCCATAAAGGTCTCTCTGCAAAGCCTTTGCCATTCGCCTCCGAGCATGTGCCATGTGAACTTTTAGCTCGCGATCGAGAAGCTCACTAGCCAATTCAAGCCTCTTATTTCGAAAATCATCCCTGTTATCGCATTTTCTACGGCCAGTATAAGCCAGTAAGAGACCCTTCACCATATATGCAAGGAAGCGTGCCTTTCTATTGAAGCCTTTAATGTTGGGAAAGACATACATGCTAAGGCACTCTTCAATAGACTCTGAAGGTGGAAATTGGACTCCTTTCACATAACCCTCTATGTAACGAAGTGCATTCTTCCCTTTCCGAAAAGCTTCACACTTCTCATCAGCATCATGAATGGACAGAAAGAGAATATTTTGAATTTTGGCATCATCATTGCCACAATCGATGAGATCTATAATCTCTCTGTCTGATGAGACACCAAGACCAAAAAATAGTAGCCACACAGGAATCTCAACCCCCAAAAAATATACAGTAAGGTACTTGTCTCCACTGTTAATCTCTTCAATTTTGGAATTTGCTACCAGTTTTACAAACAACCTATTTCTCTTCACCTGTGACTTGTACATGATTGTCCAACAAGGAGTATTTAAAACCCAGAGCCTCTTTAAATAGATTTGCTCCTGTGCAACAAAAATCTGCAACAATTTTTCACACACAAACACAACAAATTTATAACAGTAACAAAGAAAGACAATGTGAAGATTTAATAAAGACCAACAAAGAATAGAACACGAGAATAGAAACGCAACCTAAATTAAAATTACTGCGTTGCATCAAAAAGTATGAAGAAATTTAATGAAAAATTGAGCTGACCTTTTCAGCACCCTTGATGAGAAAGTAGCCACCATGGTCAAATTCACAATCACCTTTTTCATCCCCTTTCAACCAACAAAGATCAGACTTGACCATAACAGGCAAGCTCCCAATGATTATTTCTCGATCATCTTCCTTGAGAATCTCTCTGTCAAGGTATTCTTCCTTTCCAGTCTTGAACTTGTCACTTAGAACCTTCTTCGGAACATAAACCTATAATTGAAACACACACAACCACAATGATTTCTCTAAACAGAAAAATACGATACTCATTTTTCTATATGTTGAATGAATGGTTAAGCATTTAGTTTTCTTCTAACCTGAACTTGAACATTGACTTTCATTCTGGAAGCATAAGACATCCTCTGGAGTCGAGCATGCTTGGGAAGCATGTTAAACACCGATGCATTCCCTTCGCCACCCCAGAACTTAGGCTTATCAAGGGTTACCTTGCCGAACTTTATGGAAGCATAACGGAAATGTTCAAGGTCTCCTTTCTTGGAGGGATCGAAGCCTGGTGTAACAATGTATTCGCCGAAGGAATCGACGGTGTTTTGAAGGCCGGTGCTGATGAAGTGATTGTATGAGTTGATCTGGTGACTGATGAGACCGTACTCATCGAAGAACAACATCGAAGCCTTCTTGCAGAAATGTTTAACGAAATCTTCTCCCAAATCTTCGAGGATTGAGGCATTGCAGGGAAACTCATCATCGAGGTCGAGGTCGAGGTCCATGTCGTTGACGTCGTCGTTTATATCAAGCTTACTGGAACCAATATGACCCATGATGGTTGATTGGTGATGAACACTCAACAGTGGAAAGCTAGGGTTTTAATTTGGGGTTTTACAATCTAACACTTACACGCAGAACATACTCACTGACACTGTCACTGTGAGTGAGAGTACGCTAAGACCGGAACAGTGATCCATTTACTAATTTTTTTTTTAAAAAAATTGCATAATTGTCCCGCGAGCGAGCGGTGAAATTTCCTAAGTTACCCGCGTACAAATTCGTTATAAGGTATAGCGAATTTGTACAATGATCAAATATCATTTTTTGATATATACTTTTTAATAAACTTGATTCGTTCTCTTTTGTAGTGAATTTAGTGGCCAATAATTTTTTGACACGTAGTCATATTGGATATCAAATTTGTTATTATTAGTAGTGAATTATGACCAGTCAGTTTTTTCTGTAAAAGTGTAACGCATATCATAAAATTATTGGCAAACATAATTTACTATCAATCAAAATGAATTATGTCACGTGACAGTCTGATAAAAAATACTATTCGTGTGACATTTAAATAAAACTTTTAAGATGATAGTACATTTCCTGTAATATAGCTTTGCCCCTCTCTTTTTTTTATTTTTTCATGTCGCAAACCTAAAAAGGAAAAAGTAATTATTATTTTTTTGTTTTGATAAATTTTCTTTTTAAATAGATGAATTGCTTTGGTTCGGTTTTTTACTTTTGCTTATGAGAAAACCAAAGTAAACTGAATTTGTATGACCATGTGATAAGTTATATATTTTTATAATTTATTCACTTTTAAATAATTAAATTTTAACTTGTTGCTGAATTAATAAAAAAAAAACTATTTATTGTTTATATTTTTCCATTACTTTTTATTAATTTTGGAAAAAAAATACTGTTTTCTTTTTAGGTTTGCAAGGTGGTAAAAAAAAGTGGCGGTTATATTGCAGGGAATGGACCATCATCTTAAAAATTCACATGACCTTGGAGAATGGATCATTTCATGTTAAATTTTTATGTCTGTCTTTTTCTTAATTAATGATAATTGGACCATACATATTTAATGCATTTAAAGAAAAAGATAGGCACAAAATTTTAACATGTACAGGTCATGTGAAATTTTAACATCAGAAGATCCACTCAGATGACGTTGTGATGTGAAAGTGGTATTGACTATATCATTTATTACACTTATATTTCTCATTTTTATCAATTTTGAAAATGAAGAAATCATAAAAGCTTTTATTACACCTAGTTCGCTAGCCTACATAACGAATTTGTATATGAATGTCGTGTGTGCTACTTTTGTTCAGAGGAGACTGACATTTTGACCACCTAATTTGCTACTATCAGTAGCGAACTAGGTGGCCACCAGAAATGTGTCACGTCAGCAAACTAAGTTCATTACCTGTTATAGAGAACTTGTACGCGTGGCACTTTGAAAAAATTTACTGTTCGTGTGGCAATTAGGCAAAAATAAATTTAAAAAATTGTCAAATGGATCATGTAACATCCCGTATATATACGGTAATGTTATCATAATATCGTATTAAGTTACGATTAATTAAAATGCTGAATTACTTTTTCTTTTCAATTATGATGCCATTAACATTACCAACTTGCTTAATAATCAATTAATAAAACATCGCCTGTATGTAATTGCAATAAAACAGCTAACTGAAATACCTCATAACATAGATAATATAAGTGTGGCTCTAGTCACGGAACTACAACAATGTAGACCGGACCATCTAACAGTTTATACAACTCCAATCTAAAAAGTACTAACAGAGAGTGTCATGGACAATCCCCATGCTTACTCAAATAAGGCAACATGCCTGACATCAGTCTCAACAACAACATAATGATAAAAGGCATAAAACATAATCAGCATCAATATCCAGTCATGCTAACAAATAAGCAGAAACAACATAATCAGCTAAGCTCCGGCCTCCTGCCGCCTGAGGCATCAGTACCCATACTACCTGATCCTGAAATAAGCATTCCCCAAACGTGTGGTAAGATCTCTAATCTATAAATCTCAGTAAGTCAGTGAGTCCTCAAGGATCTTCCACCCCAAGCTCACTTACATGTGCAATATAAGTTCAAAAGCAGTTTATCATTTATCATTTCTAAAACAATGCAATGCAGCAGATAATCATGTCATGTGTGTCAATACTAATCTACTGGCCAGAGACAGTGCAGGTATACGTCTATCACCTACACACCGTGCAAGTACCACTTGCATTCACCCCGGTACACCGTCTTGTATGGCGCTACATACTCAGGCTTCCCGTCAAGATGAAACAACACATGCATATTAAAAGCCATTACATGTAAAGTTCAATCAACATGTCAAATATCCAAAAGCATGTACACAGCATGCATAAACCATACCCCCATGGGACATGGTGGAACCACAACATGGCTAAACCGAGGACACGAAAGCTTACCTCGCAAGCTAGCTATCCAATAACCAAGAGTCCACAACTCAACGTCCAAACACAGCAGATTCACAATCTGTTATGGACCAACATTATATTAATAAACATGTACCACATGCATATAACTTAAAGACAACGAATTTCCTTACGTTTTACGTCTTAAGGCTCCATACCAAGCAATAAGTCTTTAATCACAACGATTTTGACTTAAATCATTAATTATAGAAGTTCAGCTTCATCAATCTAGGGTCCACAAACCTCCAATAGCCTACTGTACACACAGCACAGCTACTGTTCTGCGAAATCCCAGAATATCCGGATATTCCTCGGGACCATATCCGGATATGCAATATCCGGATATCTCACTGGACATATCCGGATATCCAGAATCCCATATCCGGATATCTATTATCCGGATACTCAAAACCCATATCCGGATATCACATATCCGGATATTCATCGGGCACATATTCGGATATTTCACAACAGAATGCAGAAAATGCATTTCGTGAAGATATCCTTCCAAGGTTGGGTTTTTAACGATTTTAAGCACCTAAACATGCATTTCTAGGTGTGTTCAACATGACCCAACAACAAGTTATCAGCTTTAAGCCTTAACATGCATCAAGTTTTCGTTTTCAAGCATTAAACTCATGATCAAAGGTTGGTACACATACCCCAGCTCAAAACAGAAGAAGAGGTTGCTATTTGGAGCTCACAATCAGCCCCTCAAGACTGACTCAACAAGGTGCACGAAATGGACCAACAAGATGAGTCATTTCCTCACCAAGGAAGCCACTTAGAGCTCTAAACCACCAAGAACAAGATGACTCCCCTCCAAACTCTCCAACTCAGAGCAAGAACCTCACAAACAGCAACTCATAAACTCAAAAATATGACTCTTTTCTGCTCACAAGACTCACACCCTCAAGCCCAAGTGTTTAGGAAGAGGTAACATGGAGGTAGAAGGTCACAAGGCTCACACAAGGGAAGAGAGCACCAACACAGAGTAAAAATGATCAGCCACCACAAGACACTCACGCATAGAGACAGTTTTCTAGGGTTATGTGCCCTTAAAAGGGTATTTATAGCCCAAACGCACTTAAACACACAATATTAACTTTAATTGCTACGCTTAGAATTTTAATCCCAAACTTTGGATTCTGAAACTAGACATTTTTCTAAGAATTATCATATTTTTTTCGTAATTTTATGAGCACCTTTTCGGTACGCGTTTTTCCAAGCCAGTACCGGTTTCTAGCAACAGTTCTCATTATCTGGACTTGAAACTCGTTTTACAAGTCCTACATATCATTCTAGTAATTTTCATACACTTATTATAATTTTCCGGGATACTTTTTCGGTACGCATTTATACCGACTAGCAGAACCGGTATCTGCACTTTTCTTCCGAAAAGCGACTTTCAACATTATTACTCACTTACTATGACTATTAAAGCATCATAATAATTATTAGGGTCAATTATGGAATCATTTCCTATTTTTTCGTAATTTATTAATTAAATCCCTTAATTAACGGTGTGGGTTCTTACAGATCACTATTCTGCTAAGACCTCTTAACTTTTGTCTCCAGACTAGGCTGTAAACAGGACAAGTTAGACCAGACTTTGACTTTGATAACCTAAGCCTATCTAAATATTTAGAGTATATACTGACCTATTAACCTATTAAAGGCTTAATTAATAGGTCTGATTTGACATATTATTAAAAACTAAAAAGCCAAACACGGCCTGAAAGGCCTATTAAGTTGCAAACTAAAGTTTATAGGCACAAATCAAATTGAAATATAAAAGATAAAAAATTTTATTCACAAAGATCACATGAAATAGTATTTTCATTAACACAACATGAAATATTATTCATGAAAATTATATTTATATATATATATATATATATATATATAAGTATATGTACATGTACATGTATATATATGTATATGTACATGTACATATACATATATATACATGTACATATACATATATATAGGAACAGTGACCAAAATGCCACTGTTAACCAAGTTTTTTACTTAAATGTCACGCGAACAGTGTTATTTTCCAATCTGCCACGGGGCAATTTCGCTACTCGGTGTAGCGAACTCGGTTTGCTGACGTGTCACTTTTTTAGTAGACACCAAGTTCGCTACACGGGGTAACCAAGTTCGCTACCCAATGATAATTGTCGAAGATTGCATCCAGTTTGCATGTGAGTTCTTGAAACTTCTTGTTTATATGTTCCTTCAACATCTCGACTTCGGAGTGAGTTTAATCCAGTCGATCATCTATGGAACGTGATCTTGTCTCTGGAGGCATGATTTCAGATGAAAGAACCAATTGATAGGTGATCGTATCACGTGAATGGAGAAACAAGAGAGAAGAAATACAAAGGAGATGAGAAATAAGAATTTTCTTTTTATTTCATATCAAAAGTCCCCTTTCATTACATTCTCCTCACCTTATATATCAATGAGGAAAACTACTCTATTACACAAGCATGTTATTCTTTTCCTAATTAACTAACTGTCTTAGGTGTCTTCCCTTCTTTTGTTACACATCACTACGATCTGAGCGTAGTTTCGTAACTATTTTTCCCTTCCTAACAACAATGATGTCCTCCTGAGCTTCCTTTGATGTTCCTTCGC